ATTCAACAAATATGTACTTCTATGAGGTTGAATTGAAAAAAAATTGAGAAAGCAATCTTGTATTTGCGTTTCGTATAGGTAACTTTCACTCCCCTGGCAGGCTTAATCTAAGCGATATCACAAATATGTCTATACCAAGTTACGATTATACTGTGCAAGAGTATTTATCTTACAAATTTTGACAAGTAATGGTGTCTGTTGTTTTGACAAGTCCTTAAAGCAGCTACATTCTAAATCGAAGTACATACATTCTGCATTGAGATCAAAATAAACAACTGCAGTGGCTGTGAAAGTCTTAGTAATTTTGAAAACTTTGGTAGTAGATATGATTATCAATGCTATTTTTCAGCGCTTTGCATATTCCTTCATCTGCTTGATAATATGTGCCAATCGAAGGGATAGATCCTCCTATGTAATAGAGAATTCTATAATAATGTAGCACTGTTAGCCAGCTAATAGGTCTACATATTTAGATAAATTGAACTGAGGGTCAAGACTGAACTCTTACTGAACTTCATAGAAGTAGTCACAAACTTGAAATAGTGCACTGACATAATCTCACACCTAACACAAATGCCTATGTAAAAGTGAGCTATGATTCCATTTGCATTCAAAACATGAAAGTAATCAACAATTTTCATCACTTGTACAGAAATTTGAATGGTTACATATTATTCTGAATGATTGTTTAGACAACAGAGAGCATCGCTCAAGTTTTAATTGCATTAATCAACAAGTAATAAATTCAAATGAAACGTGATTGAGACTACTTACGTTTGCCATAGAAATACATACACTGTAAACACTTCACAACACTTTCACTATGTGTAGTTGTGATTGCTTGTTCTAAGCTTCTAATTAATCCTTATTAACGGGAGCCTCATTATTAAGATTTCGATAATGTTTACATTCATACCTTGTAAGTTAGAAATAGGAGGTGATGCAATCAGACATATGCTTTATATCAATCGGTTGGAAAAGCGGAGCTTTATGACATATTGTAAAATTATAACATGAATAGGGGCTTACAATCATATTTTTATCGTATTTATAAACCGATGATGATTTCAATAAACTGATAAACGTCAAAGAATAATTGCAGCCTCTGGCGGTAAACATCGCAATCTGTAAACATAAAAAACTACTAGATTCATACGATTTTAATGGCTATAGTCCGGTCCGTTTAGACAATGGAATATAGAAATTTTGAATCTTTTCGAAAATGTTGATTTTCACGCGTAAAAAAGGACAATGGTATTCGGCGTGATCCTATATTCGATGAAGCGACCGACATAAAGCCGAAAATAGCACGTTTCGGACGTTCCGCTCGCACGCGCTCACTTTCGTAATACGATCGTATCTACAATACCCCGCCTAACAGGAATCCGGGGATCTGGAGCGGAAATTCAAAATTGAAACGTCAAACTAAAAATGTGTACATATCTTTGAATTTTGTAATCAGCCGTGTTTAAAAAATGCGATCGGGTAACGTGTCGTATGTCAGTTTAATCAGGAGACTTTGGTCTTTCGTTTTGCGAAAAAAAATCGTAGCCATGTCGCTCCGTAACGCAGGTCCGTATCGACGAAGACAAAGTACGCCGAAAAACGGTTGTCATCGGTACTTTTGAGGCGCTCAAAGTTTACTTTTTCGAAATTTGACGGTAATTCTGACGGTCAGAATCGTTTCGTCAGCTCATTATCGTTATTTTTCGATAGCTGTATAATTTTTACTCGCTCACGTACGGTAGTAATAGGCGAAGACAGAGCCGGATGACAAAATAACTTTTCCACGCATCGAAATGTAGCGTGTTGTCGGGCAATTTTTGAAAAATCGAAACTTTCGAACGACAAGGGATAAAGGAAAAACAAAGACGCTATCTTTGTGTCCGATGTCCGGGCTTTCTCACGCAAAAATCGTCAGGTTCGTAGCTCCTTTATCTTCGGAGGAGATGTCTGATCGACGGCGAAGCAGCGTGCTTTATACGCAAAAAGTCATTCTTGACGACGTTCGAGGTTCGTTTATTCGAAACGGGTACCGTAAACGAAAAAACGTCTCTCCGCGTAATTTGTAGCGCTCGCCGAGATGTACGAAACGCGGCGCGCGAAATTCCTTTTCTCTTCGGCATAAGGGAGATATCGTAGTTTTCCGGGCGATTCGTCATTTTTGTCGCTTTTTTTTCGAACATTCCTAGAAAAAAAACCGAGACGCGGAACCGAACGGATTCAGCTGATAGGCACGTATTTCTCGTTTAGCTATCGAACGAGACCGATCTCGAGTCGATATTTCGATAAACGGCGAAACGAGTGTGAAATAACGCCGCGTACCGCCCGACAAACGGTCGATTTTTCGACTTTACCGGCCGTTTTCGATCCGATCCGTTCCTCTCACCGCGACGGTTCCCGCTCCCCGGTAAAGCGTCGAGTTTCTACTTTCCGAAAAGGTACCTCTTTCCTTGCGAACGTTTCGCGAACCGGGAAAAAAACCGGAAAAACCGCGTCGACGTCGCACGGCCTGAATCTCTAGCGTCACGTGGCCTTCTACGAAAAACAATCGACCACCGCTTAATATAGTCGACTAGCGCGGTTGCTGGCATGCTAACGCTATGCAAAATATTGTATGTTGATGTCTTTATTTAAAACCTCACGTAGCGCAGTTGCTGGTATGCTAATGCAATGTTAATGATATACTTTATCCCTATCTCTAATCATTATCTATCCTTTATCACCTTTGATCTGTTATCTGTTATCTGGTACCTGGTATCTGACATCTGACATTATCTGTTGTGAGTTGTCAGTTAACATGGCGTTATAAAATCTTCCATATAGCATTAAAAATACCATCTATAAAATTTTATAACATACTCAGATTTATGTGCGGAGCCGGCAACGTCGCATCTGTCGTTAATAACACAGATGGCGTTATAAAATCTTGCATACAGTATTAATGTCCTCTATAAAATTGTATAATAAGCTCAGATTTATGTGAGGAGCCGGCAACGTTGCTTATATATCTGGCAATCACGTGACGTGCCAAAAAAATAGCGCTTGACTGCCATAAATAGAGATGATATTAGCAGCGACTTGGAAGTCGCCGGGATATCGGTGACAGCGACCTTAAAGTCGCCGGTAGATTTAGCAGCGCTTTAGGTCACTGCTTATCTATGGTCGCTGCCAGCAGCCAGCGACTCCCTGGCGCTGATTACATTACTCGATATTTGGCGGCGGTTATCCATTGATATTAACGAGGTGTAGATGTTCAGGTTCCCGAAGATTTGAATTAAACTATATTTAAGGTTTTTGTTTTTAACAATATTGAGCACAAAACACATAAAATCATAAAAATACATAAAATATCTTTCTATGAATCTTAAAAAGGAAAACAAAATACTGTTTTACCAGTCAAAATAAAACTTTTAAAACATAACAAATGTAGTATAAAAATGCTTCTTTTATATGTTAAACATTGCTTAATAAACGAAACATTTTTCTATGAAACAGGAACTCACAACAATAACAATAAAAACTAACAAAATAGGTTAGGCTACGCCGTAGCGACCCTGTACTTCCCGCGCGATGATCGCGAACGTGATGTGTATATGCTTCCTGGCAGCGACCGCGACCGAAACAGCGTTACAGCTACCGATCAGTGGTTACCGATACTTCCAAACAGCGATCTGGGTCGCTGCTTCATGGAGAATCAGGTCGCCGGGACTAACGGCGACCATTGAAGTCACCGGGAAAGGTCGCCGGTACCGATATATCGATCATCTCTAGCCATAAATCAATCGTGTTCGCCTATGGACAGCACGGGACTGTTCCTTTTTCAGTGTAAATGTTTTTTGTTTTGTGATGTTAAGTCAATGTCATAGGTCTTTTCTAACCTAGAAAATACAACATAATGAAAAGAAAAATTATGTTTCTGAAAGTTAATTCCCAAATGTCATTATATGAAAAGTATTGGGATTAAATCAAATCATTGTCATGCTATTTTTTCAAAAAACACTGGATAACATTATCCGTATCTACGTAAATGGAGGATCTGAAAACAACTGTAATCATGTGATATTCACCACACCAAATGTGTTCCATTCTTTTATAATTTCTTAGAACATCAATATTTCTTTGTGCTAATATGCTTTAGGTTGAAAACAAAGCTGTTGCGGATCCATGTTCATATGGAAATTTCGTTATCAAATTGACCAAGGATTCGATGGTTAAAGTATGTCTACATATATATTATAACACCCATCATATGTGAACAATATAGATTTTAATAGTAGTTATATTAAAGCATTATTAACAGTTATTCAACATAAAAATTATACTGGTGCACATAGCGAAGGTTATGTAATATAAAAAAATTGCTGTTCTAACTTGTCCCCAAGTTATAACTGCAAAAAATGTAGAAAAGACCTCCATGCTTTACATATTCAGTTGGAAATATACAGAGTATATAATATTTTTAATATCAAATTTCGTAATATGAGGGGTATCTTTGTTGATAACACTGGTCTTTTTCATATAACACATTAGAAAGGTATGACTTCTTTTGAAAGATTCAGCATGGAATTTGCCTTACTTTTCTTGCACAAAATTATCAATGGGCACATTGATTGCCTCCAACCATTAAGAATCACCCTGTAGTTCTCTGATTTTTCAGAAAGCTATGTTATAAAGATGTACCCTTATCGATGAGAAAAAGATTTCATACACTGCTCAAAGTTTGACCTTGGCTTTTATTAATTGTCATTGCAAAAGCCAAACGTACAGGTAATTGTCTCCTTTTCAAGTTGACTGGTAGATCAAGAGAGTTTAGAGCGATGTTGTCAACTCTGGAAATTAATTCGATCGAAGGTTCATTATTAGGGTCTTCTACTCGTTTTGCTTCTATAAAATTTTCGTGTAAATTATGAATCAATAAGCGTGTGCCGTTACATAAACCTCTATTAGATCTAAATTCTTCGTTAAAATGATAACTGCACCAATCTTTAGTGTAAGAATGTGGGGAGGAAGTCTTGGAGCATCCAAAGAATTTAAAAAGTCTTGTGGACATGCGGAATCTAAATCATCAGCAGCATTTTCAGTTGTATCGTCTTCTCGGATAATACTATCAACACTATATATTGTCGTGATCTGCCTGGCAGTTTTTCTAAAACAACTGCATTGATATCCTTCACATGAATGTTTAACGGAAATCGTGTTCAATTAAATTGCTACCGTAAATGCTTTCAGTAACATTTTCTACAATAATATGGTTAGGAACTTTGACTATAGTATCTCTGCCATTTTCTAAGTGACGTAAAATTTCGGAATTATTTCCTATGGTCATGAGCCAATCTTTGAACTCGTTTTGCTGTGGCAGTGCTCTAACGTTCGTAAGAAGATCGTACTTAACAAAGTGTTGCCATAGTTGGGAACATTTCACTGATGCAGAAATAGTTTCATTTTTGCCGGCCAATGGAACGATAGGTGCGCATTGCCTGAAATCGCCTAGAATTATAATAATCTTGCCGCCAAGTGGAATGTCATTGTTCATTATTTCTCTTATCTTCCTACCTATTTCATTAAATATACTTTTATGTACCATCGATATTTCATCAATGACAATAATTTTTGAATATCTAATATTATCAGCAATCGCACTTTGATTGCGAATCCTTGACGTTGAATTTTCTAGAAATGGAACCGGTAACATAAAAGCAGGATGAATCGTTTGGCCATTTATCAGTAAGCTGGCTGGGATACCTGTATAACAGATAGCAATGTAACGGTGATTATTTCCTAGTAGGTAAGTCAGTAGTGTATTCAATAGAAATGTTTTTCCTGCACCTCCAATTCCCTTAATAAAGAAAAGACGATGTGAAACTCTTTCATTTTCGTTTACGGCTAAAAGTATATCGGTAAAAATACGTCGTTGCTCTTGGTTTAAAAGGGGAATGTTCCTATTAGCAATTTCTTGTTCTTCTGATTGATCATAATCGTATTCATCTTCGATTAGGTGTTCTACTGGTTCAGTGGGTAAGAGCAGTTGAAAGTCTCTGTTTGATTTGCCTAAAAATAAAAATGTAATAAGTAGTTGTATAAACATTTTATAATTATATTGAGTAATTACTTATCATAATATAGTTTTAATATACTAAGTGACATATAAATCCGAACACCCAGTTTAAATGGTTTTATTTTAATAAAAGTTGGTGAATGTATTTATCTTACTGTAAATAACAAGTGAAAAAATTTTCAGCCTTATCAGTTGGACATTCTGGTTTTTATACTGCTTTTTTTTAATTCACTAACGCTCTAAAAATGAATATTTCAGCCGCAGTAAAGAATCAACGTTGGCGGATTTTGGTTCTTGACATCCTTTACGATCGGTTACGATGCCTAGAGTACGGAGACCTGTACGATTTCGTCAACTTAGTGAGTTTGACAGGGGCCGTATAGTGGGACTTCGGGAAGCTGGACTTTCTTTTCGGGCAATTGCAGTTAGAGTGCAAAGAAGTGTAGACACTGTAGTTAGGTGTTGTCAGGCATGGCTTCGAGAACAACAGACCGTGAAGATCGCCGCCTAAGATAATTGGCCTTAAGGGACCGTTTCTCCACTACCAGGTCCATTGCAAATGAATGGTTTGCAGAACACGGATGACCTATTGGCATGCGAAGTGTTTACCGACGAATGAGAAGTTTTGGCTTGTTTTCATACCGGCCACACTGGGTCCTCCCTTTAACTCGAAAACACCGACGTAATCGCCTTGAGTGGTGTAGACAACGGTCACTCTGGGATCAGGAATGGAACAGCATTGTCTTTAGTGACGAGTCTCGATTTTGTTTAGGCATGCACGATGGTCGTGCCAGGGTTAGATGGCGACGTGGTGAAAGGAGGAATCCACAGTTTTTTGTTGAAAGACATGTTCATCACACTGTTGGAGTTATGGTTTGGGGTGCTATAGCTTATGGTTCCAGGTCACCTTTAATCTTCATCAGAGGTAACATGAACGCGCAGCGTTATATCCACGAAGTTCTAGAACCCCATCTTTTACCCTATCTTGACACCCTGGCAAATCCAACTTTCCAACAAGATAATGCCCGACCACAAGTTGCAAGAGTCACAATAGACTTCTTTCAACATAATGATGTCACATTGTTACCATGGCCACCAAGATCTCCCGACTTATCCCCAATTGAGCACGTGTGGGATATGATGGGTAGGAGATTGCTCAATTTGCAACGTCCTCCTCAGACTCTAGAAGCACTTCGAGAGGAGTTGGTGGTTGCCTGGAATGAGATACCACAGGAGGACATTGACCACCTGATCGGAAGCATGCCTAGGCGCGTTGTAGAATGCGTAGCACATCAGGGTGCATCCACATATTATTAAAGGTCAAAGGGCTTTAAAGCAGTGCAATCATTTTGAAATTTTTATCATTTACTTATTATGCTTCATTAAGTACTTATACAAAATTTTATTAAAATAAAACCATTTAAACTGGGTGTTCGGATTTATATGTCACTTAGTATATAATTTTGTATTCATCTGAAATTGATTGGAACATAAATGCTTATGTTGTGTTAAATTATTAGCGATAAATATATTAAATATTGAATTCATATTACATCACAGTACTGTTACATATAAAGTGATTAAATTCAAAAATTTTCTAATACGAAAATAAATGATTTCAATATGCTTAAAAAATGTGAAATAAAAAAAGTATTTGAAAACATAAGTATCAATTTTAAATGAATTAATAAAAGTAATTATTGATAGAAATATTAACCTTGTAGTGCTAGGTATCGATTGATGTAAGCCAAGGCATAGTTGTAGGCTAGGTCGTTATCATTTAAGCGTCGTATATAATCTTCAGATAAATGATATTTAAATTGTTCCCCGCAATGCTAATGGATTTTCGATTTCACAAAACAGCAACATCTGTGAAAACATACGACGAAGAGCTCGTGGAAGTTGTACGTGTATAGCTTCTTGCAACATGGTGAACCAAATACTATCGTCCGTGAGAAGGTTCATCGCAATAGCAGCGTCACGGAACGTTTCGTACGTACGGCCATGTACAGTACTAATGTCTTCGAATGATCTACATCCTGTTTTATGCAAAAGACGTTGACGAAGATAAAATCTTTCACCTTCTCTAGGATGTACAAAATATAATCTAGGAATTATACGATTAAAATGACGTTGACGTTCTACCCAGATTCTTGTTTGTGTTATTTTCCACACATAGTTATAAGGTATCTGTACGTATGTGTATTGTCTAGCTTCTTCATCTTGGGTATTTAAGGCGAACCATCCTGTTAACGTAGTGTGTTGTGTTGCGGCCCTTTCTACGACGTCAGGAATGGTACTATTTGTATTAAAATAGACTTGTTGCATATTCGGAAGATGTACAAAGAGTTTAATAATAGCATGAGACATATCGTGCATTTCGAATGTATAAATCCTCCACATCGCCTCAGGCGCGCTAACATAGCGAACGTCCAGAAACATTTGAATTTCGTTGTACATAGGTTCCTGGATAGTTGTTGTTTGACCGTCTTCTTCCACGGTTCGTACGACAATTTGAGCTCTATCAAATCCTTTGTATATATATTTAAGTAAATATTTTACGCTTTTCATTGAAGAGCAAGCCTCCACGTTAATGTGAGCTTCGTATTTTTCAAGTAGATAAGCGTTATATGGTACAACCCAACTATTATCTACCGTTCTTCGACCTATATGTATAGGTGTTTCTATTGGCCGTCTTTTATATAACGGATATCCAGAGGGATTGTATAAGGTATCTTCACGCAAAGATTTCGGGAATTGTTTGCTGCAATGTCCTTCTTCATCTAAGCATCGAGCACTGGTACAAGGTCCATGAAGCATATGTACTTTGACCAATTCGTGCAAGTTGGCATGCGCGATAGGGTCGGGAAATTCTGCTGAAATTAAACGGTCGATTGCTGCAGGGTCCAATATTTTATCTGATTCTTCTAACCAAATCAACATATGCGCATGCGGAAGTCCTCTTTTCTGAAATTCTATTACGTAAACGTAAGCAACATAAACTCCCATAATATGTCGTTTATCAATATCTTCTATTAATTCCTTTAATTTGCTCTTGAACACTCTGGATACAAAATTAGGTCTATTTGAGGAATGTTGATTTGCATCTAAGTTATTTCCTGATTTCAGGCCATGCAGGATTGCAAGTAAATGTTAGGAAAATATCTGGTTTCCCGTATTTTGTGACTATAGGCATGGCATCCAAATAGTTTTGTCTAAATGCGCGTGGACTTCCTATGAATGTCGACGGTAGGATGAAAATATTTCCTGGTTGATAATGAACATCTAATTGTCTAGAGTCTAAATAGTCGATTAATCCTTCAAATATTTCTTGCCTAATACGTGGTTGATTTTCAGTAATAAATTGTAGTCGACTTTGTTCGATTTTTACGTATGCATCTACGATGTACTGTTGTGTTAGCTTGCCTGCCATTACAAATTGGTTGAAGGTATTTGGTCGAACAGCTATTCTGAAACTATAATATTCCAGTAACGATATGTATATAGCCTCTTCTATATTGATGTGGTGTTCTAGACTGCCATCCTGCTTCGCCTCTTGGATGTAATAGAGGATAGGTCATTGCATCGCAATTGACACTAAGATATGGTAATTTGTAGATAGTCTGGTCGTTGTCTCGACAATAAACATGTAAGCACGATCCAGGGGCGGTCTCCCATCTTCAGAAATAAATACGGCTGCTATTTCATTGGCCTGTACCGCGCCATATTGTCTGAAATTGATATCCCGAGCACGGTTGTTATTGATGTACAATTCCAATGTTGGATGACGATTGCTTTGTTGTTGTTATTGATAGACATCCTTAAGAAATCTATATGCTTGAGCAAATGGATTGTGATTGTACAAGTAATTAGAGATGAGGTCGACGATTTCTCGATTTAATTCTGCTCGATTTTGTGGACCAACAGACCGAAGTGGATTTGCCAGTTCAGTTTCCAAAAAATATAAATTGCCATATTGTCTGTGTTCATTTGAAATATTAGTCGAATTATTTGATATATGATGTCTTATTTCTCCTTGTACCTGGAAATTCATTATAAAAGGGATACAAAATTTATTAATAATATAATTGATTTAAAAAAATGAAATAATTGGTTTCTAATGTATTATTGTTCTTTGTATGTGGATAAAATAAATAGCATTGTAGAAAAAGGTAAAACAGATGAACAATATGAATTATATATATATATATATGTATATACAGGGTGTCCGCAAAGTTGGGGTTTTCCTTTTCAGAAACAACTACCCTTGAAATAACAAAGGTAATGTGTAGTGAAACGAGGGCGACCAAGTAAAAAAAATAAAGGAAAAAGTACTCACTCTCCAGTTGACGAGAAGGGCTAAGTACGTCTCTGCCCGAAATCATACCGCTCCAACAGAAAATGAAATCAGCTGAAGCGCTACCGAGCAGACGCAGAAACCACATTGATTGTCTTACACTTAACGGCACATCTTCTAACAAGGAAGGCAAAATGTTGCGTAATTGCGTGCGAATTTTCTACTGACCAAACATGAGTGTTGCGAAAATTATTCACCCCATTACGCGTGAACGTAGATTCGTCTGTCACCAATATGCACTTCAAAAGGTCCGGATTATTGTCATGTTGATGCAACAACCACTCACAAAACCGCACTCTTGCTGGAAAATCGTCAGGTTGAAGGGCTTGTACACGTTGGACGTGAAACGGATAGCCCCTCTTCACGCAGCGTTTGCCACACTTTAGCTTTTGATACTTGCGCTTCTCTAGACACGTCTCTAGAGATTCTCGTCTACGCGATTACCTCTACATGCGTGACCGTAACCACCGGTTGAAGGTTGCATACTGACCTGACACACTGACCCCGAACCAGTTCTGCCGTCGCGTTGAGACCAATCTGTCCCGGGTCGCGGCTACAGGACGGTATTCAGATATTTTTGATGTTGCAGAGCCCTTTATCTCGGTTCCCTTTGGTATATATGGTACTAAGAAAAATTGCTTATGTTTTCAAGATCTACACGTCGTGTAAAGGAAAACCCCAACTTTGCGGACGCCCTGTATATGTATATATATATATATATATATTACTTCTTTTCGATAGTGATAAGAAATTAATTTAAATAGTTAAAAAAAGATTTTGTGTTAATATCTCATATTTATATAATATTTTTCATCTTTGGTGTCACAGTCTGTTATGATTAAATGGTAGGGTTTTTAAGAAACTTTATCTATACAGAAATATGTGAGTTGATGAAAAGTATATCTTGAAAGTATTTTGAAATATACAGGGTATTTCGAAAAGGTGTGAGAGTTGATATTTAATCTAAAAATTGTTGACCAAGCACTTTGAAGGGAAGAGGTTGTAAGACGCGCGACAGAGAGGAAAAGTACACAGTATTTCTTTGGTTAAAGTGTATATAGGTCAAAATTAAAATTCCACGACTTGGCTTGGCAGGTCATATATCAGATTGGGCTTTTTTTTCTGGAAAGTACCTATAGAGGTATGAGACTTTGTGAAATTTTAGGATTCTAGATCGAATAATCCGGTTTAAATATGCGCTTGGAGTTTGTAAGTCAAAATGTAAATTTTAGCGCTTTAGCAACTTTTCAATTTCTCGGGGCAAACGAAAAAGGCATGTTATGTCTTTATAGGTTCGCTTCAGCAACAATTGAACGCAATATGAGCCGTGAGTCGTTTTATAGAATCATGGGAATTGTCAATTTTGATTTGAAACATCGAAAATTGAATCCAAAGTTTTTCTGATCAATGTAAATGGTCCATTACGAATTTATATATAAGGTTTAACTGCTATATGGAAAAATAGTTTTGTGAATTTTTTTGTTTTGTAACGTATTCTAATTGTCTACCTAATAACGAACCAGTCAATAATTGCGAAAAAAAAATATTTGATTGAAATTTTTGTCCAAGAAATCATTATATAGCAATTTTAAGATATTTTTTTTTGGAGTTCGGTCCTGCTACCGAGTCAGTTAGTCTATCTGATAGTGAGCTCGTGAATTTACCATATTAAAAGTGAACCATAACACAAACAACTTTCGACTTGCTACCATATAGTGCAAATCACGAACCAGGACGCATTGTGAGTAGGAAATATTGTGCTATATACCGAAGACATACGTAAATCAGTGGATCAATTATTCAACATTCCAATCTCAAGCGTTCGGAAAAAACGCGTCCAGAATTTGGACCTCGAAAGAACAGGTCCGTATTCAGAAATGATATTTTCCCTTACTGATATAAAACATTAGCAACAATGACATCAACACCGATTAACCAACCCACACACTATTCCACAATTCTAACTACATATAAACATCCAACTAAAGAACAAGCTATAGTTTTCAATTCCATAGACGGAGAAAGAATACAAGATTACTTGCTCCAATTAGGACCAATGATTGACCCGAAGAACATTTTGTTTTGCTCTAGAATTTCCAATAACAGAATTTGCATATACCTTTCCAGCAACGAATTAGTAAATAAATTCGTAGAGAACCCAGGGGAAATTGTAATACAAGGAGAAAAAATTAAGGCCCGTAAATTAATTTCACCATCGGACAGGTTAGTGCTATCGAACGTCTGCCCAACAATACCACACGCAGTTTTAAAGGAAAAACTACAAGACCTAGGCTTGAAATTACTATCTTCCATAACATTTTTGAGAATCGGAGCAACAGTACCAGAATACAATCACATATTAAGCTTCAGGAGGCAGGCATGTTATATGCACTCAAAACAATGGACTTACTATTCCATACAATGTTGCACCAGACGCTAGCTCAGCAACAGATAACGACTTCTCGCTAACTCGTTGTTTACGCTTTATTTTCTAGAGGTGCTTTGTAAGCACACCAATAGTATAAATAGGCCTTGCGCCCATTTCATGTCGTTCATTACCCGGCTAGGCACCGTAACAGTCACTTATGTAAACTCCGTAAATGTCACATTTGTAAACCTTTGTATTTTATATGGACTGAAGGTTCAGTCCTCAAATAAATTTTTTTAAAAAGTTATTTCTAAATCTAATGATTTAAGAAATTGGTGTCAGAAAAGTGGGATAGCTTCAACGCATTAGAACACGTGCATACTAACTAGTGTGGTGGATGCCTATCCTTTAAGCTGAAAAGGACCAACGAGCCTTAAGAAGAAAGAAACCTATTGAAGAAAGAAAACTACAAGTAAGAAACCACAAAGCAACAAGAAGAAGGAAAATAACAGGGGACACAGCGAGCAGCAGCCACCCAACTGCAGACAGACTACTAGAAACATCGCAAGAGATCCACTAGCCGCCTGGAGAACACGACTGCCTCCCGATGTACCCTTGGTAACGTACAATTTTAATCTAACTATTTTTTGCGATTTATCTCTGTGTGTGTGATTGTTACAACTTTTTATTTGCATTTTTGCGCATTTACTCTATACAGGGTGACTTTGAAGTTGAGTCATTAATTTTCAGATAATGATTGTAGAAGGAAGATAAACCAAAATATGTGTGTAAAAATAAAAAAAAAATAAAAAAAAAATTTTACCTTGCTTTATAAAGTATCCTCCCGACAAGTATTTCAGTGCGGACCTGTATTTGATCGTGAGGTCCCCTCTGAGGTCTTAAGTCACCTGATTCACGAGCCCGTTGTACTACATTAACAAAGGCACGAGGGGTTGGTTGCACTCGTTTGGGAAACCGATCCGCATAAACATGTGCCATTTTTTATTTCGTTTGAGCCACGCAACAGATACCACCATTCACTGACACTGACTGTATACAAATGAATGAGATACTTGTAAAAACATCGTTCCAAATTCTTTCGCTTTTTTGTTTCCGATGCGATGAACCGATACGGCGGACTATATCCGTTGTCGCCAAACACGACCACATAATATTGTTATTGAGACAGGGCGGTACTCAAACTTCCAAAGGGCTATAACTTTGTTACTTTAATTTTACCAGGAAAATGGTAAAGGAAAAAAACATTTCTTTTGATCAGATCTACTCACTGTTAAAATAAATGACTCAACTTCGAAGTATATTGTCGATTTTCACGTAT